AGAACACTCAGGGATCTAAAAATAAACCTGCTGTTGTATCCTGCAATTCCTCTACTAGGAGTATACTCAAAAGACCAAAAATCACTTTGCAAAAAAGATATTTGCACCAGATTATTCATTACAGCTCAATTCGTAATAGCCTCCTTCTTTGTGTCAATGTGATGCCTCTGACATTAACTTAATAGCATGAATACCAGGAATAATAATTGGATATGCCACAGCAAAAATAAATAAATAAATAAATAAATAAATCCACATTTCCATTATGTGTGAATTTCACTGACAATGCTGTGTGGTGGAAGGTGTTTTGTGATGGAGGAAGGGTACAGGAGAAGCATCATTACATACCTAACAGTTAAATGAGAGGGGATAAGGAATACATCATCACCCCATCCCCTGTATTTCATGGGTTTTTCCATCCTCATACTTCTCTCTCTATTCTGTATGTTTTTAAAGAAAATCCTGTTTCTTCCTTTTGTAGTATAACATTTGACAAGGGTATTGCCTCTTCCCTATATCTGGAGCTGATAGAAAACAACCCAAGGGGATTGTGGAGTCTACTAAACAGATTCCTGGAGCAAGAGTGCAGAAATCTGGCTTCTTTCACTGGGAATGTTAGGTAATTCACTACCTTTTGACAATCTTTATTTATATGAGAGGATGACAATTCTCATCCCTGCCAACCACCAGTTATACTCTGCGGTTTAATTGTAATTACATGTTGGAAAGCATTCTGTGGTCTTAGGTGGGAGGAAAGGTCCAGTGCACATTCAAATAATTATATGCTCAGAGACAGTCCGGTTGTTCCAGAATTTTGCGGGGTGTTCATTAATTTAATGGTAGTCAAATGTCAGCTGCTGGTGTCAGGATTTGTCAAGCAAAGTCCATGGACTACTTCAACCAAATTATCAGGGGCTACTTGCAAACATAGCAGATACTGGGTTCTACCATAAGTGAACTGATCAAAGTTAGGGAAATGTCTACATCTTGGATAATTTCACCAGTTGATTCTGTTTCTCATTATATTTTAAAACACTCTGTAGATTTGTGACAAGGTCTACTGAAGTTTTGAATTCTTTGATGTCTAACTTCATTGTTATTTTCTTCTCTTACTGAGATTGGCTGCCTCGAGTTGTATTTACCTGGATGTAGTTGAGGAACATTCTCCTTAATGGAATATCACAAGAATGGAAAAGCAATTAACTGATGTACTCAATCATAATCTGAAAACAGTAGATGTACAAAATGAACACAGGTGAGAAAAAAACAATTAAATTAAAGGGGGGGAATAGCAGGGAGGGAATTAGATGGGAAAATGGAGAGGGAGATTGCTATGCTCACATCTAATAGCCACAGTGTATGGATATATGGCTTTATTAAACATAAATGCCTTCTATAAACTATCAAAACTATAAAAAACCTCACCCTGTAAATTTTATATGATAAGAACAAGTTACATTTGTTTATATTTTATTGTGTGCTTATCACATCACTGTTCTAAGGGTTTCATATATTAACGCAAGTAATTTTCAAGGCAACAACTCATGAAGTAGGGACACTTAATTTCCCCACTTTCCAGAAGAAAAAACTGAGGAAAAGAGAAGCTATTTCACTCTCCCAATGTCACAGAAAATCAGATGTTTTAATGGCTTTCAGTGGGATATTTTGTTTTATTTCTAATATTTCAAATTAATATGGTGGTACATACAATTACCTTACATTTATGCATTTGTTAGGAAAAGCCTTAGTTGTATTTGAGTCCTTCACTCAAGAGGTCTCCATATACCCCTCTATTGTACCCATGAAGTGGAAGCTTACTGAGCCCCTTGCCTCCTCCTTTCTCTCCCTGACCTCTCTCCCCTTCTGGAATTTAATTGTGTTTTCCTCTCATGTGGGCCTGCAATTGTTCAGCTCCTGGTCTCAAATTAGTATTGAGTACATGGGATGCTTGTTTTTCCATTCTTGAGTTACTTTACTAAAAAGAACGTGTTTCAACTCCATCCAGGTAACTTTAAAAGTTGTAAAGTCTGTATCCTTTTTGTGGCTGAATAGTATTCTGTGAAAGACATATACCACAGTTTACTAATCCATTCTTCCATTGATTTGGCACTCAGGTTGTTTCCACATCTTGGTGATTATAAATTGAGCTGCGATAAACAATCCAGTGCAAATGTTCTTGGTATTCTTTGCTACCAGAACTATGAGAGAATAAATTTCTGTGTTTGTAAAATTACTCAGTCTCAGAATTACTCAGAATAAATTTCTGTATTGTAAATTACTCAGATATTTTGCGATAGTATCACAAGACAAAGAGGTAATTTTTTAAAATTTTTTCACTGGTGTGTTTGTGGTGGTGTCTGATTGTGGTTTTAATTGTAGTTTCTTTTATTTAATTGCTTTTTTACTTACCTTAAATGTTCTACTTCTTCTAACATAAAGGTCTTAACACTTATTTTCTTAACTGTCCAGGTTATTTGATTAAGAAACTGGATCATTTGTCCTGTAGAATGCTGATACTGGTTAAAAAGTTTTTGACATATGGAGGCAGTGGTATAATTATTGCCTTGACTCCATGAATAGTCAAATTATATTAATAATATTTTTAATATTGAAACACATTTTACACATGAAATAAGGTACATGAAGTTATAAGCTACATCCTAAGTTCATGATTCATTTTTGATGTGTTTTTATTTGAGTTTGCTAATATTTTATTTAAAAACATTCTTATAGTTTCATGTCATCTGTTCTTTTATTTTTTGGTGCAATTTGAGGTATGTTTTTAAATCACTTTTATATAGGCTTTTTCTTTTTATATACTTCCCATATCCTAGAAATAGTTTGGATAAGATTTTTGTGTGTGTGTGTGTGACAGAGTCTCACTATGTTGCCCCTGGTAGAGTGCTGTCGCATCACAGCTTACAGCAACCTCAAACTCCTGGGCTTAAGTGATTCTCTTGCCTCAGTCTCCCAAGCAGCTGGGACTACAGGCACCCACCACAAGGCCTGGCTATTTTTTGTTGCAGTTGTCATTCTTGTTCAGTTGGCCTGGGCCAGTTTCGAACCCACCATGCTTGGTATATGTGGCTGATGCCTTAACCACTGTGCTACAGGCGCCAAGCCAATATTGTTATTATCTTACTTCTAAAAGTTTTCTAGAATTCTCTTCTGGACAGATTTGAGGCTGGTGCTGTTTATATATTTTTTTTCCAGATATCTTTTCCATGATAATTATAAAAGAACAAAAAAGTACTTTTTTTGCAACTGCTTTTTCTAAATAAATGATTTGCTTTTAATTACAAATACAGTGCTTGACAATGCTTTCTTTTGCAAAACCAATAAATATAAGAACAATTTTTATTTATTTATTTATTTTAATAAATCATAACTGTGTACATTAATGCAAGAACAATTTTTAAACATGTTATTTGTTCAAGGTATTTGAAGAAAAAAGAGAGAAAATGCCTGATTTTTTTCAATGTTTCAAAAAGCAATTTATTTCCTAACCTGTTAAAGTTTAAGTTTGAAGTTATGACTCCACCGTAGAACAGAAAGTATGAGAAAACAGACACTGTCTTAGAGCTGCTTTAAGTAGTTTTTCATAATTTTTCTGATGTCACCTTTCCCTTCTGGAACTTCACCAAATAGCTGAATTTAAAGTATTTCTAAAGAACTAATAAATGGAGGAAGTAAAATATGTATCGAGCACAGTGTAAATTTTACCATGAATAATTATGCATATCAAAAGGTGCTAACTTTTAAAATGGTACCCCCAAAAAGTGAGGAAAAACCTGAATTACAGAAAAGAAAGTCAAATTTATTTAATCAAAAGCAGAATAAAAATTAGCAAATACACACAGAAAAAAAAAACACACACACACAAATGTACTATGTAATGACTCACAAAGGAGAAAAGCAGTGGTCAGCTTTTGTCCAAGACCACTCATCCAAAATGGTTGTCACTTCAAGAGGAAAAAAAAGATATTTGCACCAGATTATTCATTGCAGCTGAATTTGTAATAGCCAAGTCATGGAAGAAGCCCAAGTGCTCATCAACCCATGAATGGATTAATAAATAGTGGTATAAGTACACTATGGAATACTATGCAGCCTTAAAAAAGGTGGAGACTTAACCTCTTTTATGTTTACATGGAAGGACCTGTACCTGGACATATTCTCCTAAGTAAAGTATCTCAAGAATGGACGAAAAAGTACCCAATGTACTCAGTAATTCTATGAAACCAAATTATATTTACTCACACTTTCTTATGAAACATAGATCACAACTATAACTCAGGATGAAGGAGAGAAATGGACTGGGAAAAGAGGGGAAGGGGGATGTTTGACAGAGGTAGGGTAAATGGTGGGACCACACCTATGCAGCATATTGCAAGGCACAAGTCAAATCTATCCAGCATAGAACATAAATGCCTTAACACAATAATCAAGTAAATGAGGCAAAAGCTATATTAATTAGTTTGATGTAAGCATTCAAATTGTATAAAATATCAACACATTGTACCCCACATATGCATAAATGTATTCATCATCTATGTGTATATGACTTAATAAAAAAAAGAGAGGGAGAAAAACAAACACACACATGCTCACACACATACTAACACATAACAGGCACAGAAGTACACACAAGCACACACATATACGCAAAAAAACAAACCCAGTATTTTTCAGCAATACAATTAATCTACAAGGAGCATAAAACTCAGTATTATTTTACAATGCTTCATTTTTTTAATACAAAACATACCCAACCTTGGGTGTTCATGTACACATTTTCAGTGGTTTACTCTTGACTTATTTTTAAAGATATTACTGAAACTGCTTCCTGTATTTAACAGTCTTTTTTAAAATTTACTTTCATTTATCTGCCTTCCACCAACCAAAAGAGTTTCAGGTTGGGAGGCAGAGGGGTGCCTTATTTTCTGAGAAATTGAATGCTATAGTTCTAAACACTAGCCAGAATATGTCTTATTGGCATTTCAACACTTGGTAATAGTTACATTAATGCCTAAATTGCCATTTTCTGCAAAAAGTTGTGCAATGCTGGTGTCAAAGACTAGGCAGTCACTCTTCATAATGGCTGTCGCAATTCCCTCCTGAATAGACAGAGGAGTTGCTTCCCAAGTCAATCGCCGTCTATGACCATTTAGCTCTAGGCAGTAAGCAAAATTTTCAGCTTGCTTAGGTGTTCCTATCAGCTGTAGAATTGCAAAGAACTGCTCTTGACCATAGTGGTTTTCCTGTTTCTCCAAGACCACCATGAAGTGAAAGCCAAAACAAGACTGCATCATCACCCAGTCAACAGCACCAGGAAGATTAATGTCTGTAGCAAGGAAAAGTATATTCTCTCCCTGTGGTGCTATAAGGGGTTTATGCTGATCCATCAGATGGGGCATGACAGCCTCCAAAGAGCCTTGCCATTGACAGGAAACACCAGGGCAGGGACAGGAATAAGGCTTAAACTCACAGAGCTCTTCGTGGTCTGCTTTTTCGGTGGGCGGCAGAGTTATTCCACACCCAGAAGAGGCATATTTACAAGGGAAAAGTACTGAACTGGCCACTTTCTCCATAGCCAAGTTGCGAATGGATCCCAGTGGGCCCCAGCAAGTTGGACAAGAAGTCAGCTTTTGGCGACAGTTGCTACAAACAAGATGGCCAAGCTGACATTGAAGGATAGGTGGTAACACATAGTCTAAGCAGACAGCACACTCAAAAACACTCGCCAAGTCACTGTTGGATGCAGTCGTGTCAGGCAGGGCAGGCACGCTGTGGGATGGTGGACGCTGTGAGAGTCCAGCAGGTAGTTCCCCGGCAGTCCGACGGCTCATTTCTTTGGGTGGAGAGTGCGCCTCTAACCCCGTCCTGGCTCAAATGCGCTCGGTCCCCAACACCCACCTTCACCTCTTGCCTTAGCCAAGACCGACGGGACACCCTGGGCTGCCGCCGCTGTTCGAGAGCACGTCCGGCAATGGCCGCTGGGCTTCCCCTTTACCGCGGTCAGCGCGGATGTTTCGTGCTCCCTAGAGTCCGCGGCGCGCTCCCGTTAAATACCACACACCCCCGCTGTGGCCCTGAGGCGGCGCCTTTCTGAAGAGGCGCGGCCCCGGCCGGCAGCCCGGCTGCTTTTCTTTCATATGTATAAAAATTATTTATCCAAATTCAGTATGTGTTGGATGTGATTGTCTCATTAGACTTTTTGCTTCTCTTAGAGCCAATTGGGGTAAATTGTGTTTCACTAGAAAATTATCCATTGCATTTGTGTTCAAATGTATTTGAATAGAATTCTGCAAACTTTGAAATTTGGAGACTTGCAATTTTCTTTGTATTGAAGAGTTTGTCACCCTTACCATTTTAAATTTTGTGCATTTGTCTTCCTCCCTTTTGATTAATTAATCCAGTGACTTTTCATGTTTTTGATATCCACCCAAATAAACTTGTCATTACTTTTATATATGAATTTCACTGTAGTTTTTAATTTTTTTAACTTCAGATTAATATAAGAAGGGTTTGAAGTCCAAGTTGTAGTTGAGCCCTTCACCCAGGAAGTGTGCCATACACTCCTACATTCAGCCATGAAGAAAGATGGAGACTTTACATCCTTTGTACTTACCAGGGAGAATCTGAAAAACATTCTTGTAAGTAAAATTTTACTGTAGCTTTATTTTCTAACTCATTTATTCCTACTTTCACCTCTATTTTTTTTGCCTGCATATTTTTGAATTACCTCCTGTCTTTTTGAATTTAAAGTTTAATTTATTTATTTTTATTTTTAGCAGTGTAAGTATTTGATGCTCAAATTATTTTCTGATCACTGCTGTGGTGGTCTATTCTGATATCTTCTGTTTTCATTATCAGTATTATTATGTAATTCCACAATTTTAATCTATTCTTGCCTTGGACACAAAATTTAACAGTCTCTGTAGTAATATGATTTTTCATAATTCTTCTGTCACTATAGCTCTGCAAAATTATATTTTTGCTACATTACTGGGTACATAAGTATTAATAACTAACATGTTCATAGTGAATTTAAGCAATAAATATTATCAGTGTGCTTTTTGTTTTTTAATCTATTTTATTTTCTTAAATAAAATTCTCAATTCTGCCTCTTAAATATGAAAATTATAAACTTTGAGTTGTTTTTCTTGGCAATACTCTAGTATATCTTTGATTTTTTAAAATATATTTTATTGTTTTGGGTTCATTGAGAGTACAAAGAATTAGGTCACACTGATTGTATTCCTTAGATAAAGTCCCTCTTGTGTCCCATCCCAAAGAGGTGTGCCATGCACTGTGACCCCCATGCCCCTCCTTTCTCCCCTTTGCCGGCTCCCTCATCCTCCTACCTTATCTCTTGTATTAGTTCATCTACTGCCTTCATGTTAGAATGGAGTACATTAGATTCTTCCTTCTCCATTCTTGTGATGCTTTACTAAGAAAAATGTGTTCAATCTCCTTCCAGGTTAATACAAAAATGTAAAGTCTCCATATTTTCTAATGGCTGAATTGTATTCCCTGGTATATGTATACCACAGCTTGTTAATCCATTCCTGGGATGGTGGGCTTTGAGGTTATTTCAACATTTTGGAGACCGTAGATTGAGCTGCGATAAACAGTCTAGTGCAAATATCCTTATGATAAAGGGATTTTTTTTCTTCTGAATAAATGCCTAGTAATGGGATTGCAGGATCAAATGGAGTGTACAATTTGAGTTCTTTGAGGATTCTCCATACTTCTTTCCAAAAATGTTGTGTTAGTTTACAGTCCCACCAGCAATGTAAAGCATTCCCTTCTCTCCACATCCACACCAGCATAATGTGCGGCTTTGACACATTGTGATGTGAGCCATTCAAACTTGGTTTGGGTGATACCCCAGGATAGTTTTGATTTGAATTTCTCTGATGATTAGGGATGATGCACATTTTATTTCCTATGTTTGTTTGCCATTCGACTCTCTTCTTTGGAGAAGGTTCTACTCATGTCTCTTGCTCACTGATATGTGGGATTCTTGGGTCTTTTTTTGTTCATTAATTTGAGTTCTCTGTAGACACTAAATATTAAGCTTTCATTAGATTCATAAAATATAAATATCTTTTCCCATTCTGAAGGTTGTCTGTTTGCTTTGTCTGTGGTTTCCTTAGCTGTACAGGTGCTTTTCAATTTACTTAAGTCCCATTTGTGTATTTTTGTTGTTGTAGTTTGCATGGAAGTCTTTGTCATAAAATCTTTCCCCAAGGTGATATCTTCAAGTGTTTTCCTCACATTTTTTGAGGATTTTTATTATTTCATGCCTTACATATTAATCCTTTATCCATTATGAGTCAATTTTGGTAAGTGTTGAAAGGTGCATGTCCAGTTTTTGTCTTTTACATGTGTTTATCCAGTTCTCCCAGCACCATTTATTGAATGAGATTCTTTCCCCAATATATGCTTTTGTTTGGCTTATCAAAGATCAGGTGGCTGTACAATGTTAGTTTCATCTCATGGTTTTCTATTCAGTTCCAAATGTCAGTACCTCTATTTTGGTCACTATTGGCTTGTAATATAGCCAAAATTCTGGTACAGTGACGCCACCGGCTGTGTTTGTATTACTGACAATTGCCTTGGCTATAGGGTTTTTTTTATTCTGGTTCCATTCAAAATGCTGAAAGTAGGATGATGGTATTTTAATGGGGATTGCATTGAATCTGTAGATTGTTTTGGGAAGTATAAATATTTTGACAATGTTGATTCTCCCCAGCCATTAGCATGGTATGTTCTTCAATTTGTTAATATCTTCCAGTATTCATTTTCTTAGAGTTTAGTAATTTTGTTTGAGTTGGTCTTTTACTTCTATTGTTAGGTATATTCCTAGATATTTCATTTTTATGGGGGCTACTATGAAGGGAATTCTGTCCTTGATTAGCCTCTCATCTTACCTGTTGTTGGCATATACCAAGACTACTGATTTGTGGACATTTATTTTATATCTTCAGATATTACTGTATTTTTGATCACTTCCAGGTTTCTTGTGGTGTAGTCTTTGGGGTTCTTTAAGTATAAGATCATATCATCAGCAAAGAGTGAGAGTCTGACCTCCTCTGCCCCCTTTGGATGCCCTTTATTTCCTTCTCTTACCTGATTGTATTGGTTAGAATTTCCAGCACTATGTTGAATAGTAGTGGTGATAGGGGACAACCTTGTCTGGTTCCAGTTCTAAGGGGAAAAGCTTTCAGTTTTATTCCATTCATTATAATATTAGCTAGATGTCATAGATGGCTTTGATAGGTTTACGATGTATCACTTCTGCCTATATTCTTAATTGTTCTAATTAAAAAGAAAGGGATGCTGAATTTTATCGAATACTTTTTCTGCATCTCTTGAGAAGATCATATGGTTTTTGTTTTTGCTTCTGCTGATAATGGCAAGCTACATTTATGGACTTACATATGTTAAATCAGCCTTGTTTCCCTCGGATGAAATCTACTTGATTGTGATGAATAATTTCTTTAATGTGTAGCCATAATCTATTGGCTAGGATTTTACTGAGAATTTTTACATCTTATGCATTCTGAATTTCTCCTTTTAAGTTGGGGCTTTTCTTGGTTATGGTATCAGGATGATGTTTGCTTCATAAAACGTTTTTGGGAAGGCTCCTTCCTTCTCAATGTTTTGGACTCATTTCTGCAGCATGAGTACAAGTTGTCCAAACATGGCTGTCTGGAAAAGGAAGAAGCCTTTCTGGAGGTCTTGGTTTTCAGGGGAGGCTGTGCATGGAGTGGAAAATGTGGACGAGTAGGCAAACTTGGACAGTATACAGCAACCAGATTTGAATACTGGTTAGAGTGGATTTGCCATTGGTTTGGTATATTATCAGACAGCCATAATGAGAAGGTCTTGGCAGCCAGGGGGAAGCCAGGTTGTTAGAAGGTCTTAGGAGGCATCTAAAGCATGGGTGTCTTAATCTCGCCTACTGGGATCAGAATGCCACTCTTGGGTCAGGCTGAGGAACTCCCACAATCCATGGTAACTGTTCTCAGGGGTAAGTGTGAGAACTGCCCCTAAAAGACTCTAAAGAGCTTTTAAGATCCAAACACAGTGCAGTCTCAAGGCTAAGGATACAATAAGGTGATCACCAGCCTTCTTATCAGCCCAAGGTATATACTCCAAAATAGACCACATCTTGCTTAAGTGTCAAGCCTCAGCAAAATTAAAAGAATAAAAATTATACTTTGTATCTTCTTAGACCACAAGACAATAAAGGTGGAACTCCAACAAAAACGTTCAGCCCCACACAAAGATACAGAAAGTAAACAACCTTATGTTGAACGATAGTTGCATTAAGGAAGAGATAAGAACAGAAATTATGTTTGATATTTGAAATTTTTAACATAACTGAAACATTTGTGTTAGGTATGACCCTTGAAATCAAATAGTTTTGGATTTTACTTTAAAAGACAGTAAGTTATATCCATTTATATTATTGGTATAGTCAAAATATTTGGTTATTAAGACTCATGTCTGTTCTATTATTTATACATATATAAATTACATATATAATTTCTGAAAGTCTTTCCTAGAACATCTTTTTTATTTGTTCTATCATTGTACTTGGTGTCTAGACTGATTTTTAGTCTTTTTTCAGGGCTGCTTTCCTTCTAAACAACCCTCTTAAGCTCCTTCATGTAGGAAGAATTCTTCCTGAAGAATAGAGAGATAGGCAAAAATATCTATACATAAGTCATATAAAAAAATACATATGCCTTAACATTTAAAAAACATATTAAGTTATAAACACTAAATAAATGCAAATTCCTATCGTAGGCCATCACATTGAACATAAAATATA